CGATGACGAAAAGGATTTCGATTTGACCCCTTAGGCCAGGCGAAGCCAGTCATGCTGCTCTGTCCATATCCCCTAATAGGCTATCTTCCAGCTCGTCAGTGCAATTCCCACTGGGCATTCAATGCGAGACTAAAGAGTAGAAGGCCCTGGCAGGCTCCTTACGAGGTATGCTTAGCTGTTTCAACGGGAGCTTGAGTCGTTGCGCTCGAGCGCAGAGAAACGTGCAGTTCTGCATCGTCGTCTTCTGCTCGACCATCTCAGCCATATTCCCATTCCCATTGCGTCATCAGAGCGTCCACTGGGACTCCATGGAGGAAACATTTAGGCAATGGTGAGTTACCGGCGACAACTTACTCTGGCGATAAGGCAAACGTTCTATCTTGATAGTGACACGTCCTTTAGCGTCTTCCCTTCACAGCTTCCAACATAATGTGGATACAACGTGTCTGAGTGAATAGGATGCTCGCCAATCGATGCTTATCAAATGCTCCAAGTTCTGAGCCAAGTATCTTTGGGTCTCACAGAATCCCGCGATAACATTCCAAAGAGTCGTTATACAAAGCAGTTTTCTCAGAATATTCGAATCGTTTGTTGCGTAAAAGTTCATCGACACGTAGACTTCTTGACTTGCAACGTGTCGTCGTCAAATTCCCACTTCGTTCCAGTACTGTCGTGTTACCCAATCTGCGGTAGTACTCTTGTCACACGATTTCTCCCTTGTTTCGAAAGCCACTTTGCGGATTTCTGAACGCCTCCACTCCCTAGCAGTAGCGTAAATTCCTCCTTCACGTCGACTTTGTCTTCCTCCACGTCCGCTCAGAGTCAGTCCCCCCCAAAATCGTCAACGTAGAACTGCGTCCGCAAAACTGACACTTGACATCAATGATCATGGGTGAGTTTTCCTTAGCACGTGCTCGCGAAGAGCAATGATTTAGCTGCCAGCTGCGAAGATGCGCTTACCCGAAGGTAACTGTGGTTAAACTCGTAAAACTCGGTCGGATCCTCTGCGTCCTTTCACGGAATACGATCGGTTGAAAACCTTAGCGCTCATCTGCGGTGGACTTTCACGCGCTTGGAACATCTTTGCCCCTAATTGTCGGCGATCACCCCAACTTCATATTCTACTAAAACGTATGCAACCTCGAAAGTTTGAGTTTCATGCTTGTTTCCTTTTAGCGAGGTAGTCGTTGAGGAGGTTCCTTAGGTAGTTGCCTTTCCATCATACACAACACGATACTGGTGTAGTCCATGTGAGTCTTTAAGACTCCGAAGTGTGGAAGGAAACCACATTTTGCGACCTAGCCTGGCCGTCGTTGGCCATTTCATCTGGCGATACAAACCCGTGCTTTTACGCCGCGTTTGACTTTTGGTCCTCCATCTGCTTGCAATTAGACTTCCCAATGACTGATGGTTGTCTTGAAAAACTGTTTCTCCAAGATTAAGAAACGTTTCAGGCAGCAATCGTTGATGTGCGGTAACCCCTGTAGCGTGATTTCCTCCACGGTAGACTGATCTGGTAGGTTCCATCCGCTAGCCTGGTTACGCTTTGCTGCATTGCAGTCGTTTGCTATCTTATCTTCGTCTTCCATGGCTACACTTACAACGTCTCGGCTCGATACCTAGCACGTCGATTCCCAGGGAAATCTTTCTATCTCGCTGATGCTGTCACCTGAGGTGAAGTGTACCGGTTAGCGTGCAAAGAACTTTTCAACTTCGAGCTGATTGACCACCTTGGACATACCAGTCCCAATGCGACATCTGACTAGCGCAACAGATCGTTGGCTGATGGACCCAGGAGACGTCATCTAGCTGTTAGCTACATCTCCGCGTCTCGGTACGCCTTAGCAGAATGTCGATCGTCCTTGCGGAGCTTCAACGATACTGATATCATTCAAAGGTGAGCGGTACTGTCGAATTCAGCGTACGGATATGGCACATCGCCGCGATGTCTCTTCATCTCAGTAAGACGGAAACATCACGCTGGAAACGCCACCATCTAGACTCTCTAAGGTACAATCTACCACTACGAAGGCTTGCAGGCGAGGGTGTCACCTCCAACTGTCGGGAGACTGAAGTCTTGCATCTGACGCCTGTGAGACTTATGAACGCATTCCTTCACGTAAAAGCGATATCTGGCTGCCTGTGTTCGAGCTAGAATCGTTTACCATCGTCTTCTTCGTACCAAACGATGTAGCCCATGGACGGTCGGCAGTGGCCCACATGTCGCATTCGTCGTTTACCTCGCATGTGCTTCCTACTGCCACGTGCGGGTTCAGAGTTCTTTGCTACTGCTGATTTGAATTCCCGCCTATTGACGTTCAAGGGCACCCTTGCTATTCCCTGCCACCAGAAGATAGGAGCTTTCTTATTCGAAAGTGACTAGTACCCATCTCGTCCGTAAAACATCGGCAGACTGAAAGAGGAAATGCAGTGTTTTCATACCGACGTGGGTATGACAGGTTGCTGGCAAATTGACAGTCATCGTGGTTTGAACGGCCGTTTCCTTGAGCAGCAATTATTAGACCACAGCAGATGGCATATATATTAGCGTTTCATGATGATCGAATTCTCACTTTTGCGGAGAGGAGCGTACGGACTTTATGACAGCCTTATCAAGAAGTGATTCGAGTCTGAGATGCAGTGGGCATTTCGCGCGTAGGTGATCGATGCCTTCTGTCTTGCGTCACCAAAGTCCTTTTCCTCTCACCAGCCGTCTTTGCCCTCTCCGCGGGAACATCGTAAATGACTGGTCGCATTGCCGATTCTTGCGCCGATGTACTTGCAGGTTGGGACTGTGGTACTCAGCAATTCTTTGCCGCCTTCTGCAGCGAGCACTAACAGAGAATGAACCATTTAACGAGCGACCGGGTACGGACCGTGTGGCCTTGCTGATATCTCATGCGGACACTCTTGGAGGTATTGGATGCGATGCCCTCCGGTAGTTTACGACGAACTTGCCGTCAGATAAGCATCCTAGCCATTCAGATCATTTGTTCAGCCAACGGTTTTCGACTTGGGTAGCGAGAGTCTGGAGTGATTCTACAAAGTTGTCCATGGCCTTGATGTCCACTTTGCCCTGAAGTCGTAAGAATCCATCTTGCTTCTGAGGTCATAAGCAGCACGTCTAGAGATCGGTCCGTCGTCACCATTATGTCTGCGTCCAAAGATTTCCCATGCTCTTCGGGTATTAATGCAAGCACACTTTATTCTTGTTTAATTTCTGCTTTTCCGCTCCATCGATTCCAACAAGCTGGATAAAAAAGGTTCAGTTTCCTCTAGATCGCTAGAAAAAATGCGTGAAAAGTATCTTTGAAACGTCTGGAATCCGCAGGTCACCGAGAGAAGAAGTAGGAAATCTCAACCGCCATTACGCTTTGTGCACTTATCTTCCCCAAGTGACGAGAAAAGGGGTCTATCCTTGGTAGGTTCCGTGCGACAGGCTTGGCCTGTTCGGATTTCCTGAGAAGCTGCGGTATCGTTAGGCAAGCACTATCCAACACCTCCGTTGATGTTAGGCCTCCTCTGCGTCAGCCGATTGTCATCCTCCGCCGATTCACTTTCCATCTCGGTGGCATAATCTCTGCACTTAATTCACCGCCACTTCAAGCCTTATGAAAATAGGCTCATTTACCGTTTGCAGGTCGTCCAGTGTTGTGCAATGCCGTTCTGAGTGATTTTTAAACTCCGTATGTGGCATGCCAGATCATAACCTAGAGCGGCAGCGCCCTCTTTGACTAGGATGAGTGACTTTTCGTTTCGAAACAGCTTCTTACGGCCTTACCTCCGCTTGGCAGATTCAGGCCTGCTCTCAGTTAGCGGACGGTTGACCTTTGCTGCTAGCCATAATTTCTACACTGTCGGTGGCGCCCTCCTTCGTGGTAAGATAAGCTGTCTGTTGGAACCATTCAACGATTCACAACAAAACATCCTCTAAGCATACGTCGTGTGCGTGAGCAACCATGCAGCCGCTAGACGTCTCTTAAACGTAGGTGCATGTCGTATCAACGGCGAGCAGTGCTCACTGAGTATAGCCGAACAGGCACTAACAGTTACCGTCATTTCTTGTCGTAATTCGGCGGAGCGTGCGTACACAACGTGATTGAATAAAATGGACGTGCTTACCTTTAATAATTTTAAACACATTGAATAATGAAACGCTGTGTACTCCGTGAAACATCTGATATTATATATTCAATCGTGGAAAGATCACATTGCCACGTTCCAAACGCCCCATTTGCACTGTTTAACCCAAACATAAGCGCCCCAGCGGGGCGATACCGAAAATAAAAGCGTACACCCGGAAATTGCCGCAACACGTTTAATACAACTTTATTAACTCCAAAAACATGGCCTTTACAGCCAGCGAGGCTGGAAAGCTGTTTACAACACGTACCTGCACGCTAACCATGCGCTGCAGCAATTCCCAACACAACTGCGTGCAACGAACACCTGCATGCCCTGTTGCCTGCTCACAAACATTCTAGACGCCAACTTTAGCACTAACTATAATTTAAACAGCATAGTAAATAAGGAGTGAATTTATATCACATACCATCCCTTTTTAGCCATGAAATGATATTGGACTGGTCCATGCCACCTCCTTCTGTCCGATGTACTTTCGGTAGTGAGCAGCACAACTCAGCCAACTCCACCTAGGGCAAGATATTACAATCTATTAACTACTGTAGCCGTGGCACCGGCTCTCGGGTTCCAGACGGTGGGGTGTAGCCCACTGGGTACGCGGGAGATGGGAAGAGATTGGTGAATGTTTGAATTGTCTAATTTGTTTTGTCTTCGTGTCCTGTTTTTGCTCCTGGGGTTTGCTTACCGAGATTGGCAACATCCACGGCAAGCGGCGCGCTGCCCACTGCGCGGATGCAGTGGCGTCCCTACTAGCGGCCGAGATCGGCGAAACAGTTGCCTCAGGGACAGCGGGAATTCGGCCGTTGTTCTGACGGTAGTTCGCGGGTAGGAGCGAAGGAGTGAGATCGTAGAGCAGAGTTGGGGAAGACAGAGAGCTTCGAGGAGTTAGAGAGAGGAGAGAAAGACAGAGAGTTGCGACGAGGTAGAGAGAGAGCGAAGACGAGAGAGAGCCCCACCACGTTCGGGCTCGAGCGTGACCTTCGTGAGTAATGAGCCCCGCATTGTCGCTGTCGTTGTGGGTAGTATATTAATACGAGTTTACATCTTAGCATGCGAAAGTAACGTGTCGAGTCTTCTATCGATATATGCTGAGGGAGTTAGTCTATTTCGTGCGCGGCTGCACGGGAGGGGAACCTCCGAATTTTACTATACTATAGCCCTTTGCCCGGCTGCGTTCATAGTCTATTATCTTGTGTTCTATACTCTAAAGTTTCCGGTAGTATACACTCGTATACATCGTAACGCGAGTCTAGTGGCAGGGGTGGGAGTTGCCCTGCGTGTGCCAACGTGTCGTTACTCGTCCTGCACTGTGACTAACTACGACGCATCAGGACTGAGGCACGACAGAGCCGGTTATTGCGAGGGCGCAGATAGCTTCTAAAGCAGCTCGGGGCTAGCGAGGTCCGGGGCCAGACGATCACGGCCAATAACAACGTCTCCGGACACAACGGCTGGTGATAGACCTAGGATTGTGTGCAGCCATTGTGTGTCCGACCGGTGGCGCCATGCGTGTGTTCTTTCGCCGGAGAAGCACGAAACGCTACAAATACTAATCATTAACATTATATATATACCCTTTATCTACATATAAGCATAAGATATAATGTTCATAGCTACGCATCACAAACTCAAGGTGCATTACTGAGGATTGTCCCACTTAGCCAAACATTTGTTAAACGGTGTAATTATACTCATGATGTCAATGTTGTGTTTTCATCACTTGCCTACAACCACCGCTTGATAAAGACAGTAAAATTACATAGGAGGTGGCAGACATTAGTTTGCTGTTTCGCACGAATATTTTTTATGTTACCGTATTGTTGATTACATAATATTTACCTCCGCCCAACGGAGTTGGAGAGGTTATGTATTCGCTCTCAGTGCGTTCGTGCGTTTGTGCGGTTCGCGGATCGATATTAGCCGCGTCGCAGTCAGCGAGCGCAGGCCAGGTCAGTCAGGCAGGAGTCAGCAAACGGAGCGGCGATCCAACGCTCGTAACACTACATGAACATGCGCCGGCGTCTTATGGCGATATGCTCGCTGCAGAGGTATGCACTCTCTTGTGAGTTGCCCTCTGTCTAGTTATTAATTCAATCTTTCCCATTTGACGGACACGCACGCACGCCACCCGACACGCTGCCACGCACACACCCACCAACGCACGCACGCACCCACACCTGCACGCACCCACCCACGCACACGCACACACCACCACGCACGCACCACCCACCAACCACGCCACACAGCCCACCAACTCACGCACACAACCCACCAACGCCACACACCACCACACATACGCCGTAACAATACACCAATGATGAAGAAACACAGCCAGTGTTGAAACCTCAGCTACATGAGAGCGTTTGCATGCGTGGCACATATAGTACTCGTAAGTAAGTAACCGTAGTCGTAGCACTAACAGATCTATAGATACAGATATGCTGCATTGTGTATACACTTTCAGGAGTAAATAATAGATATATTAATAACTCCTATTATTCATTCCTACTATGAGGTTATAAAGTACACAATCTATTATCTGATATTCTTGAAACCGAAAAGCTCCGAAAACCAAAAGTTTTTTCGTGGAGGTCGTCTGCACACCAAAGCTCGCGTTTGGTTGCACAAGGTTCACTGCAAAAATATTGATGTGTTTGGCATTACTCATACATATTGTACTGTACTGGTACAGCACTTGACCTCTTGAAAACTTAGGATTTAGTACTGGCTAGTTGCAGGATATACGGTTATGTATATCTGCACTGTACTACCATTCCGAAATCCGAAGAATTCTGAATTCCGAAACGTGTCTGGTCGCAAGTGTTTCGGATAATCGATTGTGTACTGTAGTTCGGATGTAAGCAGGGAATTATGCGATGACGCGTTGACACCTATGTTTCAGTGACGTCGTTCAGGCTGAGGCAGAGGGCGCTGCATGTGTGTAAGGAGGCGGCGAGGGTCCAGCGTTTTCGGCGGGAGGCAGAGGCAGCGGGAGCGACCGACGTTCTCCCCTCACTCGGCCGGCTGATGTCAGAGAGCCATGACAGCTGCAGCCGGCTGTATGAGTGCAGCTGTGAAGAACTAGACCGTCTCGTGCGAATCTGCATGTAAGATATAAAATTGAAGAGGGGGCAGTGCTGCTCATAGGGTCTATGTCCCCCAGGGTGCTGCCGGGACGTACCCTGGGTACGGTCCGGTATACCGGAACATACCCTGGTAACTATCTGATATGGTTAGGGTTAGGGAGTAGGCATAGGCGTAGGCAACTCCCTAGACTTGGTAGTGGAGTAGGCGAGGTACGGTCCGGCATATTAGATAGTACCAGCAGAGCATATAAATCACGTTGATTTATATGCTCTGGTACCAGGATACGTTTCGGTATACCGGACCCAAGGTACGTTTCGGTATACCGGACCCAAGGTACGTTCCGGCAGTACCCTGGGGGACATAGACCCTCTCAGCGGCAGTGCTGGGTTACTATGGAAATTACTTCTGAATCTGCATGTAAGATGTAAAATTGAATGCCACCGCCTATGTAATTTACTGTTTTAAAGCGGTGTTGTAGCAAGTGATGAAACAACAACATTGACATCATGATATAATTACACCGTTTAACAAATGTTTTGCTAAGTGGACAATCCTCAGTAATGCACCTTGAGTTGTGATAGTACTATGAACATATATCTATGCTTATATGTAGATAAGGGTATATATGTTAATGATAGTATTAATAGATTGTAATATCTGCCCTAGGTGGAGTTGGCCGAGTTGTGTGCTCACTACGAAAAGTACATCGGGACAGAAGGAGGTGGCATGGACCAGTCAATATCATTCATGGCTAAACAAGGGATGGTATGTGATATAATTAAATCACTACTTATTTTCTATTGCTGTTAAATTATATAGTAGTATTAAATTATAGTTAGTGCTAAAGTTCGGCGTCTAGAATGTTTGTGAAGCAGCAACGCAGCAGGTGTTCGTTGCACTTGCGTTGTGTTGGGACTTGCTAGCAGTGCGTGGTACGTGCAGGTACGTGTTGTAACAGCTCCGGCCTCGCTGGCTGTAAAGCCATGTTTTTTGAGTTAATAAAGTTGTATTAAACGTATTCTCTTTATCAGTTATTGTACTTCCAACAAGACGTAAGAGTATGTATCTATTTCATTGTGCATCACTGTACTTGCAACACTAACATGTTTGTGAGATTCTTGATGGTTACGCCAACCATAGGATCGATAATAAACTGATTCTCCTGCCTGTATGTTGTTCAATATCGATGTTCACATCCAGGCAAAGTTCATAGAGTTCAACCCAATACGTGGCGTGGACGTCAAACTACCAGAAGGTGCTGTCTTTGTTATCGCCAACAGCTGTGTCACTGCAAGCAAGGCAGTGACGTCACACTTTAACACTCGTGTCGTCGAATGCAGACTTGCTGCGCAGGTGTGTGTGTGATGTTTGCAGGCAAAGATTGTACAGTTAAAAAAATGTTAGTTTATAAACTTACTTTTAGAGAACTTTACACTAGAATGTTTTGCTTTTTTAATTATTGATACATCGCCATTAAAACATCTCTATGGATAAAAGCCCTGAAGTTGATAAAGAAGTAGCCACCATGATAATAATTAATTCTAGTCTATGAATTAATTACTTTTCGAAAGACTTGTAGCTGGCTGGAGAAATCTTGACCTTGCGTAAAGGTTGAACTGTCGTAATTAAGGGCGAATAATGCTATACTGGAATGTGTGGGGGCTTTTGTATAGTAGTGATCAACTATCTTTAATTGTGATGTAATAATAGGTATCTGCTATGGATCGATAATATCAAAATTGTCATAATATAGACTATATATTGTTTATATTAAGTGTAATAGACACTATATTACACATAATATAGACTATATATTGTTTATATTAAGTGTAATAGACACTATATTACACATAATATAGACTATATATT